TAATAATATTAAACATCCTGTCTTCTAACAGTCATCAACTTTCTATCTAGCAACCTGCAGCAACTCATGAGAATGACTAAGCATTTAACAGCCTGAGCTAGACATCCTGTCTACTCTAAACATTTCTAATACATCAAGTATCTAACCAATGTCTGTCTGACTAAAAATACCTAACACCTCTAAGGGCCTACTTTCAGTAGCTGCTGCTAGTACATTTCAACACTTGATTATGTCTCCAAATGTGTCGTCCTTGAGCCAGGCTTGTTTTACACCCTGAGAGGATGTGCTAAAGTGATGCTACACCTGAACACTCTAATGCTGTACTGTGTATTGTTCTGTCCATGTGTTAGCAGGATTTTATTAGTGTTTTTAAATTGGCTGAAAACCTCAAATCAATTTCACAAGCCACTCTTGTAGCATAATAGTTTTCAATGTCTTTTCCCAATGCAAAATCAGGAACTTATACTTATAATTGAATATGAAATATCAGTGGAGATTTACAGAAAGGTTGTTTGTTTGTGCGATAGATCTCTGTTGTTGTTAAAAAATGATTAAAAACGCATCAAGGAAACACACAGCTGCACTGGGTGACACTTTGTTTTTTATTATGAAGTCCCAGACCTGACTATGCTGCCCCAAAGTCTCAGAGTGGCAAAATTTTCCTTTTTTTGTAATATTGCTGTTTCTAAAGTCAAGCATGAACTTGAACAATCAACATGTTTCTTGTTCAGAATTGCTTTGATGTTTTTTTATTTAATATATTGTTATCTGTTTGGAAATATAATACACAAACAGGTGACAAATTAAAGGAATGGGTGGTGGCACGTGGTGGCCCAACACCTTACTAAGATCCTTTATGTTGGTTTTTCCTTTAATATGTAAATGGTAAATGAACCAAGGAAATGTTTGACACACCTTCTCATTCAATGTTTTTGTTTGTTTCTATTATTTTTTATGTTATAGATGAATACTAAAGACATAAAATTTTTGAAATAATACATGAGGAAAAAAGTGTGTCAGAATATGTTTTAAGTTTTAGATTTCTCAGTGTAGCCACCATTTGCACTGATGACAGTCTTAACTACTTTATTAGTTATAACAACATCAAAACCGACAAAAGAAGCCTACTACATTCAAAGTTTTTTATTTTTTTTTAGAAAAATAGAATCTCATGTATAATATAAAAAATGGCTTTCGACCTATTTTGGCATGTTTATTGACCTTTATCTGTGCCCTTTTTTGTTGCTCCTTCAGGAAAATAGGTAAGAACTGTGGTTTAACTTTCGGAAACTGTGCAGCTTTATGTTGTTTTGCCGGTAAGAACATGACAAAGTACCTTTGTAAGTCGATGCAAAGAGCAGGTGGAAACAACCACATATTCTTGATTAATCTGCAAGATGCAACCACGCAAATGCTTAAAGCACGGATGCTGAAAATACACATCCGCTTGTGTCTTGGCTGGCTATTCAATCAATTACGAAAAAAATGTAATTAGGGCATCACAAAATTTTATGTATGTTCATATTCAAGTCTCTAGTTGTAGTCTTGATACAGTATTATCATATCAATTTAGCAGCAGATAAAGTAAGTAAACTGCAGTAGGCTATAGTCAGTGATGTGTCAGGCTGATGTGATGTGTCAGGTTGAGTTGTCATCACTTTGCTTAAATGAAGTTCATTTAAGCTCAAAGCTAATTTCCATATGTGCCAAGATGTTTGTCTGTAGAGAAAACCCTGTTGTCTGTTTTCTCTTCCTGACATCACAGAAGTTTTTAATCGGTTGCTGTTTATCAGGTTTCGATCTGCAGGAGAGTTTGTGTTCACATAAGTGTCACTAGAAGCAATGTAGTGGAAACCCTCTCTTCAAAGAGATTTTGCCACAGAAACACAGTCTGAGAAGCAAACAAACTTCTAGACAGGTTTTGTCAGGAAGGTGGAACTACAGCATCATGTGTAGCACATTTCCTTCCTTTGTTCCATGTAGTCTGACAAACCTCTGTTGTAAGTATATATAAGATACAGTAGGTCTCACATCTGTTCTTTCTATGAGCTTGGATGATCTATCTGAAAGTACAAACGTTAAGGTGTGATATGATGTGTGGACTGTGGTGGTCTTGACACATTCTTGAAACTGAAGTGTGGCAGCATTTCAGTTTAGTTCAGGCTACGGAAAGCTTTCACCATCCATGTACCTTAACACATTCATACAGTGATGTTTTATTTTTACCATGTTCTATTTGTAGGCCATGTATACCTGGTTCACTCTAAGTAGGCCACTTGTTAGGTTGAAGTTGGGTGGAGATATGGTGGTAATTACGTTGTGTCACCAGACTCTGTGGACTAATAATATGTAAATCATCCAGTGTCAATCAAATATTGTCTGTACATTTGATTTGATTTGATTTATTCTTTCAAGCATATAAAACAGTTGACATAACAACACACATTTTTACACACAATCCAATATCAATTTGCTTATACCTAGTACATGCTTGAATGGAGTAGGAAGAAGTCAGACTTATCCAGTCCTACCCCATGACATCATCTTACCATCATTGGTTTGCAAACATAAATGAAACATTTGACCCATTTCAAGAAAGTGAATAATTTCCCAAACATGTCTGACTGTTCCTTTAAAGTACAAATTGTTCAGTAATTTACCTATTTTTTGTGTGGCATCAGCATCACACCTGGGGATGTGGGTGCATTTGGCTATCCTTTGATTGGGGTCTGTGGTGAAGCACCATGGATAATCTATACCATCAGGGTTGCGGCAATAATTCTCTCGGAGGTCTCTGTAACATACACACAAACTACAATTTAAATGATGGTGCTTGCAGACTGTATGTTGTACAAAAAAACTTTTTGATTTTAAGTTTCATTTTCAGCACCTTTCTTTCTGGCATGTCCACAGTCAAACACACAAAATGAACAACAATCACCTCCTTGCCACAGCAGAAAGAAAGGAATCCAAGCTGCTCGGAGCCAAAAAACAAGGACTACTCACTTGCATTTGAAGTTTTGAGAAAGAAATGAATGTTTATGGGGGAACTGAGAGTCCCATCGCTGGCACGTCACACCCTCTGGAGTGATATTGATGGTGCCTCGGTAATCTGTGCCTTTTCCCTGGACACAGGATGTTGTTACATTGACATCTGTGTCCTCGCTGGAGTCTGACTCTAGTAATGGGAGAGAAAAAAAAAACAACATAAACATAGTAATTGTGAGTGTAGGCATGAGAAAGAAAGCAAAGGAAACAGAGTGAATGAGAGGGTGACATGCAAAAACGGAAGGCAGGAAGGACAGAGGGAGAGAAGGAGGGAGATATTAATCCCCAGAAGAATGTGTCATGTTTAACCTAGAGACAGATGATCAAAAACAGTAGCATTCCCCCTGCTCTCACTTGTGATAGGAAACTTTCTATTTATCCAAAACACTGGTGGCCCCACATTCTTGCACGTAATGACATCCACAACAATATACAGTTATTTAACATTTTGATGATACAGAATTTCACAGGATGTTGTAAGAAAAGACCTGAAGCCTGATCACATTGATCATACAGTATGTGAGTACATCTTTGCCTCAGAATTAAACATGAAAATTCTGTTTCTGGTGAATTTGTGTATTTATTATTATTGCAATAATAAATATCACATCCAATTATTCCAAACATCTTCAGATGGAATTCGTGATTTCAGCAGAACAGGAATATCAGTACATGGGGAGCAACTTCTCCTCTCCAGAGTTATTTTTCTCTGTTTCTTTAGCCTTTGACAAATGAGATGGGAGAAAACAGGGGGAGAAAGGGAATATTTTGAGGCAGAAACAAGAAGACGGGTGGAGAAGAAAGATTCTTTGGCTTGATGCAATGCATGCCAGTGTCTCTGTGCACCGCATAGTACAGGTCAGTGGTTTTTATCTTTTTGAGGCCAGGCATTGAGGGATACACACATCTGGACAAATGTAGATCGTCTGCCCTGGCTATAAATCATAACATGTACTGTAAAGTACGTGTGCGTATGTATCTGATTGAGACAGAGAGAAGCTCTGCATGTCTGTGGGAATATTTCAATGTGGTTCTTCAAAAAAAACCTATTAAACTTCTCAACTACATCCTCAAATCTGTTGACTGGTGTATCATTGTCCATAAAATATGGAGGGGTATTACTCCTGCTGGTACTGTTTCTAATCAATTTATTTAATATTTTCCAAGTACCTTTCATATTATTTTTATTATCCTCTAATACTTTAGAGTAATATTGTTTCTTACATATCCTCAATAACGCAGTTAATTTGTTCTTATATAACTTATATTTTTCTTCGGCCTTCTTGGATCTGTCCTTTATAAATTCTTTATATGAGACATTCTTCTTTTTACATGCATTCTGTAATCCCTTACTCATCCCCATACAATCTTTAAATTAGGCCTAATATGGCAATTTAAAGTGCAAGCACTTGGGTTGGTGTGAAGGTCTTTTAACACACATTCTACTATACATGCTTTTGCATGGATTGGCATACAATCAGCCTACACATATAATTATTGCACATTTTAAGATAAAACATATGCAAAATTAGTGTTGTTTCTGTGGACACAGACATAGAATAGCCTATGTGACAACTTGGTTGACTTCACTACATGAGTCTGAGAAGATCACCACCAACAAGGCAGCCTTATCCAGTCATCTCACTTTCATTGCCGAAGAACAAAAATCTAATTCTGTTCATAATGGGAATGCACCCAGACTGAGGGAACACAGAAGTGACAACTAAACATTTCCTGTTTCAGCATTGTGAGTAAAATATAAATAGCAAAAAGTCTGGGCTAAGGCGTTTCATAAACGATACCAAACAAAACTGAAAATATAGCCTAACTACGAACAGTTTCATTTGCAATGTGCTGGTCTACGTGCCTTGGATGATCGAGTAAACACTGACTTTTGTAACAAGTTGCATTATGTAGCCTTGGATGTGTGTAATTTTTATTACGACCGATGGATGGCAGTAGTGGGTCGCTGGCTAGAAGTTTTATTAATTAGAAGAAGAAACCTCTCACGACTGCACGTTCTGTAATGCGACATGTCGAAAAACAAGCTCGATGAAATGTTGCGGCACTACTGAGCAATACTTGATGTTGTTTAGTTGTTAAAAGAGACACTGTCTTATCAGGCTTCTACCCAGTAAGTGCAAAGCAGACATTGTCTTTCGGTGTAATATTAGTTTCCCTTTGACGTTGTTTTCAACTGAAATACGGCCTTAAATTGGGTGGACCAAATAAAAATTGCGTTTTCTCTGTGAAACAAGGAACTACACTAATCGCATTCTGTTACAGCGGGTTGTTTGTCCAGTGATCCTGCCCCAAAAAAAGCGATGCTGGTCACCGTTTTCTGCGCGCCGAGGGATCGCCCAGAAACCACCTTCGCCCTCGATGTGTCCCCAGAGCTGGAATTGAGAGACTTTGTAGCACTTTGCGAACTGGAATCAGGAATCCCAGCAGGGGAAATCCAGGTAAGACCCAAGCTAGCTGGAGCCATTGGCTAACGTAGGTAAATATTTACGGTAACTAGCTAACTTGCTAGCATGAATCGGACTTTTTGCTGTTTTGACGGATGGTGTGTTGCGAAACGCGGGTTATAAACCAACTTGTTTCTCGAAAGGTTACTAAGGATTGCAAAGTGTTGACTTTATCTGTGGGCGACATTAGCTAACCTAACCGAAAGTGAACCTGGTGCCTGACGAATAATACCAGATGGAGGCTAACAAATAGTTTAAGATAACTAATGTACAGGTAGTGATGATTTTATAGAAGCAAGCCTTGCTTGTCAGGGTCGCAAGTAACGTTAGTTAACTCAGGGTGGGGAACGTTATGGGTTGCCACTAAAACACATTATGTTACCCCTCTTAATAATCCATAAACATGTACTATATATTACTGTACATTGTATATACTTATCACTGGATCTGATAAACCATTTAAAATACAGGAACCTTACTTTAATAACGGGAATACATTCAATAACAAGGCTCGATTCAAAAGTACCAAAAGCCCCATTCTATATTATCTTTGTCTAGTTACATTTTATCTAGTTCATTCTAGTTATGAATTATCACCACTTTGCTAGAAATATCAACTGTAGCAACTATAACAGTTCTTCCATCCTCCATCTTATGTTACCTGTTTGATAGACATAATGTAGTTTTAAGTCTACCCTTAAAGGCCCTTTGTTCCACGGGGAATTCAAGGAGATAAGAAGAAGTTTTAAGTCCTCAACTGTTATAGTTTATATTTGCTGTAAAGTTTGATCAAAATGTTAATTTTTTGTGTGCAGTGGTGCCTGCAGCTGTAATCCTGTATGCACCATGCATACATTTTTTTAAATGATTTTGCTCAAGTTTTATGCCCCTGCATCTGGTGGTCATTGTACGATAGGGAAATATAGTTTCACATTAGTGGTCCAAGGAGCTATCTAACATGATAGTGTATCACACATCCCTAGAGTGGATCACATCATTTCTACTCCCTAACTTGAGCCCTGCAGCTTGGAATGGGTGACAGCAACCACACACTGACTTTACCTGCTTTCAATAATGCCTATAACAACATCAGGACATGTGCATGGTATTTTAAATGAGAAAAGTATGTTGTTATAATGAGAAAGGTTTCTCTTTCAAACAGGATTTATGCTACAATAGGCAGTTCTTAACCCTGCAGGTGCCACTGCTTTTGTATGTGTCAAGTAATAAACACAAAAAAACTGTAGGTAAGGCTGTATTATTCTATCACACGAAAACTTTAAGGCTGCAGCCAACAATTATTTATTCGATTTTTAGCATCTTTGCTTAAAAATTAACCATTGTAATGATTAATCAATTGTCAGAATTGTTGCCAACAGTTTTTCTCTCCCAATTTATTTTTGACTGGGACAAAATGGAATTTGATACTGAGCTATAATGATTAATGATACAACAAAAAATAGACATGGATGGGGATGGGTTCTATGCTGTATTAATGTGCTAAACATTGTCTAATGTCACATTATAAATTGCAAGGATATTTATGCTTTTCTTTGTTTTATGTGGTAATAGGCTGATTATCTTTTGGCTAAAACAAGGAATTTGAGTGCAGAACCTTGTTACAATAGATAGATCAATTGATAATGTTCATTGGAGTTTTAACATATACAGACTTTACAGTGTAATTGTACTGGCTAAGAAAACAGGGTGTCAGAATACCTCACCTCCCTTTCAGTACAGTTTGTTCTGTTATGAAATATGTTTACGGGGAAGCTGTAAGCAGAAAGTGATGATAAATTGCATCGGTACACTGACAACATGACAAGAGTCAGATAGCTAATAGTAATTCAACCTTGTAGATCTGAGTTCCATCAGGTTCTGTGGACTGTTAGATTGTCTAGCCATTGAAGCTATAGTAAATGTCTTTGTAGTCTCATTAACTTGGTGAATTGTAATGTTTGCAAAATCAAGTACCACTTATGGACTGTGGCATTTTTGGACAGCTTTACAGTTTGGTATAATCAGACATCTGTTTAGCCTGCTTCATTTACTCTGTGATATGGATTGTACAATTTAATATCCACATCAAATTTGTTGTGTGCAAGAAGCTGTGAGTCCTCTGCATGTTGATTCATCTTTTCAATGTTCTGTTTTTTTCTGTATCCAGATCACATATGTAGAACAGCCCTTAAAAGACCCTACCCGTGCCTTGGGGACCTATGGTGTTAAGGATGGTGATGTGGTGGTTCTCAGGCAAGCTGACAGAAGGCCACCACCAACTCAGCCAGCCTTCCCAGGTAACATATTCATAATGTTGTTTCACACCCAAATCCACATATCTAACTTGTATTACTGTTGCTTGTTCTAGGTAGTCAGGTAGGGGTTGACTACAAAACCAAGATAAGATCCAGAAGTATGAGGAAATTAAGTGCAGTTTACAGGAAGAAAAATCTGTACAGTG